CCAACCACAAAACGCGAGTGCCAAAATATCCCGAAAAACGGAGGGAATTTTCTTCGTAGCGGTTGGCACTCAATCTGATGCTTGATTCAGCGTCGTGGCAGAGCGGTCATGACTCCTCCGGAGGTCGCGGGTTTAAATCTTGACCGTGAGACTGGCTATCATAACTCAGGTTCTTCGTGGTTTTCCACAGTCCCTTCAGACTAATGCTAGGATAGTATCTTAAATTACGTCAAGACTGCTTCCGTTCACATACTTTCTAATTCATTTTTCATTAATCATCCTCTCACTCCACGTCACATCGTCGACGCTACTGAAATCGTCCTTAAATGATATGAAAGTAAGCAAATAAATAGATTCTGTGTAATGCGTTTCATGCGGTTCTATATAATGTCGCTAACATTCGTGTCTGATTATCGCTCATGCAATTTTTGTACCGGAGTAACTGAGTTTTCTTTTTAATGATACTAAGAGTGTGATCTCACTTATACAGAACACCTGAAATTGGTTACCTTCTGTAACAATTTTCCATCGTCATATGCTTATCAAGTAACTTCATATTTAAGCTTCAAATCATATTAACATGCATTATCCTTCCTATTAAACTCATAAACATAATAAAAATCATTCTATTCAGGTACATAATATACTAAGACAAACAAATGAACATCAAAAGTCGATTCCTTTACGTACATTTCAGACATTAATGTAACAACCTTAAAAATATTCAGGACGTTTTCCTTGTAATTCATTAAATGTTCATCAAAACGAAATTTTCAGACTGCGCGATGAACCGTCTCTGAGGTAATCGTGAAAATTCGATTTGAGCTCCATCTAATTAATAGTAGGATCTGTGTTTGCTGTTAGATAAGACATTTAAATCAGTTGAGATTATTTCTGGACCAGCCGGAATCTCGGATACCCGGATACCTGTCAGCAGCTATGCCGAGAGGCACAAATGGGTTGGCTACACGCGAATTTGAAACAGGAGTAAGCCGAAAGTGATGTGGATAATTTCCTTACTTAACCTTGCCCATCGGCACATTGTACATCACTTCGGTGCGAGCAGTCTCTGTGCACCGATGCTCTGAAACAGTCTAACAAGTGTTTATTTGTTATTTAATAAATACGCCATAAGCTTGTTATTAAACCGCCACGGTGGTCTAGCGGTTAGAACGCTGCCCTTGTAAACCTGGGGTCTCGGGTTCGATTCCCGGCGGTGCCCGAATTTATAACTTGTGTTGGGCAAGGCCGTGGTCTAGGCAACACGGAGTTTTCCTCCGTGGCATCCCAACAATTACTCCATTCACACACAGAAGAAGGCAATGGCAAACCACTTCTGGATCATCTGCCAAGAACGTATATGAACAGGTCCCAGTCCGAGAAAAGGATGGAAGGATCCTGTTCATATGGACCTGTCGTCAGACAGAACACTAAATAAATAAATAAAATATAAAGCTTGTTATTAGATTCAATAATCTTTGCCGTGTTCGCATGCACGTGGAGAATTGAAAAAAATAAGTCTACACCTACCGCCCCCCTAATCTAAAGTTCTAGTCGTCTAGTCTAAACTTTAGGTGCAGTGTGTTGTTAGCTATGGCGGTGTGTCGCACTGGCCGTGTTTATAAATAGTACCGTACGCAATTGGAAAAGTTAATCTTTATTTTATTTTTAGTTTATTTAAAATAATATAATTTACCTGCATTGGGTAAAAAAGGACTTTCTGATACGCGGTTTTGGGTAATGAAGGAAAAAGTTTGGGAATCAGTGGGTTACGTAAAGCAGACCTAGAAGGAATCGCAGATTCGTGAAACAGATTTTAAAAACGAATCCCCAATACGGAATTCGATTTTTGTCAGTCGGTGGCTGGAAATTTACGTCAATTATTTACGTGCGATATTAAACTTTGCTGCTTTAACTTAACGTAAAATCATTCGCCCCTAAGTTTGAAATAATTTGTTTTTATTCAACAGAATGTGTGTGTTTGTACCTCGCATGTAGATACACGCGTTAGTCAAAGAATATCAAATAGGCGTCGCTAGCATATTTATTCCATATTAAATGAATTAATGAACATCACAGCGTATTTTCGTGAATGGTAAAAGCTATTTCATTTTAGAAAATATTTTATTTTGGGGGGATTAATGGCAGGGACACTTTACTCACCTGTACCTTTCTGTTTATTTACAGAACAAATATTTGGTACTAGACTATTAAAATACACACAAAAAATGTATGAAAATCTCTCTTGTAACTTCTGTGGAATATATTTCTCCAATTGATACCAAGCACTTAAGCCGGACTGCAAGTGGTTTATTACAGCAATGCCAACCCTTCAGTTACAAATTACTCGTCGTCATCGCATTTATTTGACCCTTCTCGAGGGCATTCGCGATTCACCTACCTTAATAAGAGTCTTCAGCACGTTATTAGTGCAAAAGCGGCTGATATACTCCATTGTCTCGCTCGGGTTACTGTCTCCAACCAGAGCATCGGGGAGAAGAAATCCACGAAGAACAATAAGAAATGTCTGGACCGTAACATTTCTTATTACGCCCTCTCCGTTTCGACTGTTCGTCTGCATGCCATCCTGCTTGAGGCACTAAAAATT